TACTATAGGCACCCAGACCACTTCAGCTTAATGAAGTGGTCTGGGTGCCAGGTCCCTCTAGGGTTAACCCTGCCTGCTGTAAACTGCTATGTTTACAAATGGGTTAATACAGCCTCTAGTGGCTGTCTCATTGACAGCCGCTAGAGGCGCTTCCGCGCTTCTCACTGTGATTTTCACAGTGAGAAGACGCCAGCGTCCATAGGAAAGCATTGAGCTGATGACGACCGAAGGAGGAGGAGAGTCCCCAGCGCCGAGGGAGCCCGGCGCTGGAGAAAGGTAAGGATTTAACCCCTTCCTCCCCCTTCAGCCTGGCGGAAGTGGGACCCTGAGGGTGAGGGCACCCTCAGGGCAGTATAGTGCCAGGAAAACAAGTTTATTTTCCTGGCACTATAGTGGTCCTTTAAATAGTGTAATTTCCTTTAATACTTGTGCTGGTTTTTGTTTAGTTTTTTGTAAAAGTTTACAGTTTTGAAGATTGTGTTTTAGTATATGGTTTTGAATGTAGCAGCAGCAGCATTTCCAACTCTTATATTGTCAGCCCGCCGCAAAGAAGATATGTCCATTTATACCATATATATATATATATAAAACAAATTTAGTTTGTTTTCTGTTAACTATTTTGATTGTTTGCTAGAGAGAAAATGTAGTCGATTAGTGCATTTGGAATGGAAAAGTGTATGTGCTTCTTAAGACACCAGTTCAGGACCTGTATTTTATAAAGTAATGCAAGTGTATTTGGTCAGCAACACTCAGGATCTTTTCTCTCCATGAGAGTCTATTACTTTCATGTATAATTGTTAGAGGGGAACGTAACCATGTCCTTCCTGGGAGTTACAGCTAAAAATCTGATGAGATTCTTTTCATATAATCTGAGTCTCCAGAAATGTAAAGTTTAGTACTGTGCATTGAAAAGAAAGACCATGTTTTCTTGGAGGACATTAATGCTCTACTTTTAGGTGTTAAAGACAGCAACATTGAGAAAGTAATAAACCTGCCAATAAGAGGAATTTGTATTCTCCTTAACTATTTCCTGTTTGTTTACAGAGCAGAAAAAAGGAGGTCATGGTGCAGCATGTGCAGAAAATAACACTAGCCGTGGCCGTCAGCAGCAGCAACAGAGAGTTATCCTCCCGGTGCATTATCCAGGGCGGGTACAACGGACTGGTCCTATTGCTGCCTACCCGACTCGCACCAGCATGGGCCCCCATGGCAATCCAATTACGGTACTCACAGTGGAACGGCCAGTGGAGCCTGATTTATATCAAAGTCACACCCCTGCTTTTCTTGCAGGGTACCGACCTGTATCACTGGGCCACTCATCTTCAGGACATCACTGTGACCTGGAACATAATCCTTATCCAGCAGGGCCATCTGGTCATACCTTTCGCCGCTCCAAGTACAATGGGCGTGGATTTAACACTGGCACTTGTTATTCTCAGTACGAAACTATGTACCAGCATTACTATTTTCAGGGCCTGAGCTATCCACAACAGCAAGAAGCAGCTGGAAACCAGGCCCCCAGAGGAGTTGAAAAAGGCCTCGCCCATCCTTTTCAACCAGGTACTAATTTGCTATACCAGCCTGCACCGGCCATGATGCACATGGCACCACCTTCTGCTGGTGGGAGCTGCTACCTCCACAGCCAGCACCAACATCGCTCAGTTTGCAGTGGGTATTTAGCTGATGTTCCTTGTAGTGACACTAGTTCTAGTTCTAGCACCAGTTCAGCTCAAGGACATGCATCATCCAGTGACTCCATGTTGGACTGCACGGAGGCCAGCAACCAGGGAGTTTACGGCAGCTGCTCCACTTTCCGCAGCTCTCTAAGCAGTGACTTTGACCCCTATGTGTACAGGAGTCGCAGCCCAGCCAGGACTGGTGGAGGGGAAACTACAGGAAGCATTGGAGAGGTTGGAGGAGGGCCTGGGAGAGGGAAGATGGACTGCAGACCTCTCCAGGCCTTCCCCAATTCCTCCTCTCGGGATCGGCTATCCAGCTGCAGCCTGGAGATGAATTATAGCAGCAATTCATCACTGGAGCGTCGTGGGGCAGCTTTGTCCACTGGGTTAATCTCAGATGCTCAAGTCTCCATTTCTCAGGGGACTGTAAGGGACTGGCAAGGTCATGAGAAAAGCTGTGGCTGCTGTTTCCAGAGGCCGGCTGGGGATCCCAGTTCAGACTGCACAAGCATGTATCTGGCTCCAGAACCTTCTCAAGCAGGTGGGACACCCACCAATGGAGGCTTGTACAGTGTTTCCTCCAACTTCTTACATCGGACAGACCAAGGAACAGTTTTAGGCCATTCTTCCCGGCCCTGCTGCCTCTATGAGGAAAACCATGGAAGCTGCTATACCGAGGACTATGCGGTCAGCATCCAATATGCCTTGGCAGAGGCTGCTGCTGCAGCAGCTGCAGCTGCAGTGGCTGGATGTGAGGCCAATCAGCCTATCCCCATCATTCCCGAGGATCCGGGCAGTGAGGGGGGCATGGACTGTGTGGGACATATATCCTGGGCACTGGAGGATGAAGCAGAAGATGAGGAGGAAGTTCTTTACTGCCAGGATGGACATTGTTGTGTGTTAGAGGAAACACGTGCTCTTTGTCAGAGCACGGGTGAAGAGGATATCGGAAATGTCACAGGTAAGTGCCAGCAGCTTCTCATTTAAATGTGTTTTTCTTTTATTCACTAATAAAAAGGGAATACAATAACACTTTATTTTTTTATATGTTCACAGTTGTATTGCTTGCCATAAATTAGATCAGGCATAAACATAATATTAAAAGTTCTGAAAAGTGACGGTAAATATGCCTTGTAAATATGACCTGGTGGAATCCCCTCATTTCTTTCTATACATTTTGCTAGGCAGCTTTGGAATTTTTATATTAGCATACCTTCCCCATCCATGGTCTCTGCGCATCTGTAGCTGCATCAGTTCTACAGGTAGAAATATGTTAAAGGGAAACTATAGTGCCAGGAAAACCAAGTTGCGTTCCTGGCACAATAGCTCCCTATCATGCCCCTTCTGTCACTTACCTGATTCCAGTGCCGATATCCCTCGGCGCTAGTTTAAGCTCCGCTGACGTCATCCAGCAGGGGAGACATAATACGCATGTGCGGCAATTGCCATGCTCGCATTAATATTTCCCCATAGGAAGGCATGGGTTTTACATGACACTGAATGTCCTCATGCATAACGTGAGGACATCCAGCTTGAGTTAGGTGACCAAGAGTCGCCTAACGACGCAGATGTCACTCTAGTAGACAGCCACTAGAGGCAGAGTTTATCCTCAAAGGTAATTATTGCAGTTCATTAAAAACTGCAATAATTACCTTTGCAGGGTTAAGGGACCTGGGACACTGCACCCAGATCACTTCAACAAACTGAAGTGGTCTGGGTGCCTATAGTGTACCTTTAAAGCACAGGGAGCTGAACGTTTAGAAGACTTTGATAAAATATATTTTGTTTATTCAGCAGAGAGACTAATTTTTCAGTGCATCATGCAGACAAACTGTAAATTATGTAATAACACTGTACAGTACCTGTATGGCTGATCATTATATTGCTGCAGTAGGTGCACAGGGTCTGTCTTACCTAACAGATCATATTTGCAGCTCACAATACCGCTTAAAATACAGATGCTTTTCTTCATCCAGGCTGTTTATCTTCTGTATGTGAGGTTCATGCCAGCATACATCTGCAGCACTTACATTCTTTTTTTTTTTTTTTTTTTTCAAAAAAGGCTTTATTCAAACATAAGCATTTCAGGTTTTGGCAGCACTTACATTCTATTGCTATGTTGGGCATTGTCAAAAACACAAGCAGATTCGTCACAAATACTCTTAGCAATATATTTGACCATTTGATTTATGTTTTAGTTTTTCATATGTTACATGTTAAAATTATTACTTGTCTTTTTTTATATAAGTATTGCAGAACCAGGAAAACCAAAGAATAGCTTTCTGCCCTCTCATTATTCCTGGAAAGGGTTAATGAAGTTCCCACGAACTTTAAACTTTTATGAATATTCCCTATATGTATAGTCCATATAACAAAAAAATTGTGATAATAAATTAATGTTACGTGTTAAATTAGCACAATTCTTTCACAACATAAAATGATGTTATAACTAAGCTCAATGAAAAGATGTAAGGCTTCAATCAGAGTGAAATGCATACGTAGAAATGTTATTTATTAATCAACATCATTAATATATTCAGTTTATGAAAATGTGCATCTGTAGGGATTCTTTGCTTTGTTTGCTAAACACAGAATTGAAAAGAGAATTGCATATTTTTGGGGACCGAAACAGCTTAGGTGGAAAAATAGTCAAGTTGTAGATTTTATTCAGATTTGGCTGTTTTGGTTTAAAATGGGCAATTATCTTATCAATTCTCCATAATTCTAATTTTAGTGCATATGTGTCAGTTATACAGTTGTTGTTGTTGTTTTTTTTCAAGAAATACCACTATAGCATGTCTTATTTCATATACTCATTATTTCTTACTTTTTAAAAATTATTTTGCAGGTCAGGGCAGCCAACCAGCACATAGAGACTGAGCACTATGGATGCAAACTTCTAGGTCTTTAATGAACTTTGGGAAATCTTGTATGAACTTGTATTAAAAGAAAAATGCATTTTAATGAACAAAAAAAGATCTACATTTTATTGTAACATTGGACACACAGTTCAACACAATCTGGAACCCAACGCCCATTACAACCACTTTCACCTGTTCTATTTCCAGGACTCGACTATTGGAGAATCTGTGATATTTGTTTAGTTTTATTTTTTATCATTTATTTTATAAATATATATATATAAATATATATATAAAAATATAAATATATATTGGTTGCTGTTCTAGAACCTTTTTTTTTTTTCTTTGAGTTTGTACATGCACAAGAACTGTCTTTCCTGATGAAAAAGAGAGATATATTTTTTCAATAAAATAAACAAGAAAATATTAATATTATTTTTATCTGTTGGCATGTTCGCCAGGGAAAGGAAAAAAAAATATTGAAAAGGAATAATAGGGAGTTGTCTTTTTTTCTGCCTCTTTAAAGGACTTATTAAATAATGTTTTATTTAAATATTTCTCTGCTAAATAGATTCCTAATGTTTATTCTGTATAGTTTCAATTTATCATATTTATGATGCATTAATTTTGATGACCATAAGCTAAAACCACTTTATAAAATACTTCAATCTTTTACTTTTTTTTTTACATGAATGTATTTGTACACCTCAAACATTTTTTTAAATATCTAGTCTCAAACTGCTACAGCATAAATGTGGGTATATACACAACATGCACATATGTAATATAGAAGCCATACATTGTACAACTGATTGAGTTTTTAGCTCGTCCACATTTTATTTGTTTGTTTGTTTTTTTACTTTTTATTTTTAAGTTGAAAACATGCCTTACTGTACCCTGATGTTTAGTAGCTTAGTGGTGTTAAGTAGCAAAGTGGCAAATGCATAAGTTAAGAACCACAGAAAATGATATGCCATACATTTTAAAACTAGTTGGATTTCCCCTTGTCCATTTCTTTTTGTTTTTATTTTGTTTGTCCCTTGACAGTAATAAGCATAGTAATCTGAAAATAGCAGGTTGTTACACAGCAACTGTTATTAAAGAGCCATTCTAGATACCTACCATAACACTGCAGCATGCTGTAAGGGTTATGGTGCCAAGAGCTGTCTAGTAGTAATATGTCAAACTATTAATGAACTGTTTGATGCTTACCTGGCTTCTTTATGTACCCATGGTCCTTGCAGTCTGAGTTAATCTGATAAAGCACACGTTCAAGCTTTCGTATTATCACACTAACTCATATCAGGTATATGCAGTATTCATGGACTGAGGCTGTCTGCTGGGTTATGGTATGAATTGTTAAGATTGAACTTCCAACTTATTCATACAACTGCATCTGACACAAAGTGTCAAACCACTCCTAAATTTGACAGATGGTGCTCGGTGACTTCTGACACCATAACCTCCACATGCATGCTGTACGGGTTATGGCACTTAGTGTCACTTTAATCTGCAACTCCTATCATATTTAAACTGCCAACTACTTCAAGGCCAATAAGACAAAACCGCTGAAGTACTGTTGTTTTCATATCAGGATCACCAGTGGTAAATGGTTTTGGGATATACCCTTGTCAAAGAGTTGGATAAAGCATAAAACATGGACAATTGTTGGTCTTTGGGTGTTTTGAAAGAGGTTTGCTTTTTGAAATAGAGGACTGTCCTTAGAGCAGGTATGTAACACTGATTTCTATTTTGACACACATTGCAACATACAAGTCTAATACGCTAAGAACTCCAACCCCCCCCAAAACATCAGTGTGTTTGTCAAAACTGTAATGTGAAAAAGACAATGTTACGCTATGGAGCAAAAATCTAAGACTCTGTAAATAACATTGGAAATTTTGCTCAACTACTTAGTTAATTTGCCCCTGATATTTTATATTGATTTCTTATGTTACAAACTATTGACCAGATGTGGATTTGCAAAAAAACTAACTAAACAAAACAACAATTAAGATTTAAATATGCGAATGCGCCTTGCCTTTGTTAAAAAAAAAAAAAAGCTATAAAGTGAGCTAATTTTTACAGAGCCACCTTAAATTCAACTTTACTGACATTTTTTATGATTATTAACAGAGTTTGTAGGCTAACCTGCTTTCTTTAATACAAGATGAAGACCATATTTTCTCATTTAGCCAATATAGGAACAGATTTGTCAGAACGCTAAGCTAACTTTTATATATGTCAGGACACAAAAAATACTTATGAGTTTATTCATTAAATAGTGAGTTGTTAAGACTTGAAAACAGCTTAATTTTGAATAGCATAGATGACTTGGAAAGTAAAATGTACACAATTACTTTATTTTCAAACTCACCTAACATTGTATAGACTTTCAACTGGCCACAACATACATTTTAATATATTATAACCCTACAATAATATGGTTTTCTTTTTAAAAGTAATTTCCACCCCAATGAGCCGAAACGTTATTATTGCTTTCAAAGTTTGAGTAAATGAATAACTAATTAACTGATCAATCTGTCCATACCAACAGGATCCGATGCACCCCAGTCCTGGCAAAGATTATTATGTAGAATATTATCTTTTCATATATAGACTTAATGGGAAAATATGCAAAAGACATTCAAGAAGAAACATCCAAGTAAAAAAAGAAATAGGTCTTAAGGATGTATTTTGCAAAACAGGTTATATATATATGTATGTATGTATGTATGTATGCACATGTGTAAATGTGGATCACACACACACGAGTACGCAAATATATGTCCATATAATTTTTAAAAAAAGACCTGTAATAGGTTATTGCCAAATTACGTTTATCCCTTTCCCTCCATGTTGGTAGGACGATTTCTGTTTTAGGCCATTTTTGGTATCTTTTACAAGCATTTGGTACCACACTGTACAGAAAATGCTGCTGTTACACAAAGTACTTTTGATTTTCCCATAATATGTTACTTAGATTATGTTGCCACATACATATAACGGGGAAGACCGGCTTGCACCTGTACTTAAAGTGTTATTTTGTGCTACTACATTGGTAATAGAGCACAGAGTATGGTGCTGAACCCCTAGCACAGGTAAGCAAAGGTTTAAAACACTGGATTTTGTATGTCTTGTTTTGTGGTGTTGGCACAGTTCTCATATTGAATAAGAAATCCCCACAAATTCTTTTGTGCCATGTAAAACTTATGAATATGACGCCTGAAACACAATGTTAACGCAAGCTTTAGAAATGGTTATTCATTGAGAATTTTTTTTTTTGTGAATATGAATTTGCACCCAGAATATGAATGTACTTCACACTGCAGTTCAACAAGTAACCAGGTGATGGCAGTATAGTGCTGTCATAAAGTCTAGTTTAACCCCTTAAGGACACATGCCATGTGTGACATGTCATGATTCCCTTTTATTCCAGAAGTTTGGTCCTTAAGGGGTTAAGAGGCAGACAAATCTAAGCTAATTCAGCTTCTCGTTTGTTGATACTACTGCAAAAGTAAAAAAAAAACATGGAGGCAATATATACGGACAGCTGTTTCAGCAAAATGTGTTCTGTAATAAACTCTTTTAGGTAAATGTGTGAGAATTCAGAGAATTTTAATGCCTGTGCTGGATTAGGTGCTTTCTATGTTTCCTGGATTTGCCTGGGAGTTTTGCAGATTAATTAAGCCTTTTTGTCATGCAAACTTCTCAGCGTCCAAAGAGTTAAAGCCACATATGCCACATCTCAGCACCCAGTGGTTTAAAACTGCTGTGTTGAAATAAACGGGGCTCTGCGCTCTACTATCTATTTGTGTGGTATTTTAACCATATAGGTGGTATTGAAACCTCTGGTTAATTAATTAATTTCTTATTTCTCTGGGTGCTTTCTAGAATCCCATCATAATGGCCTGTTTAGCACTGGACCAGTTAATGCTGCTAACATAAATTAGTTTATTGTTTTACTTCGTGTAGTGCCTGAAACAAGGCAGACAATATACAGAGTTCGTCAGACCTTGAGCTGGAGGGTTTAAAAGTACTTACTGAATTATCATAGGCCTTCTGCTGCGTTCTGTCTGAAAGTGACAGTTTGATGTAGAAACTTAAAAAAATAACTATTTATAAGTTGGAGGCCGTAATTGGAGTTTTTGAAGCTTTTGTCAGTAGCAGTCAATCTAAAACAAGCCTAGTGCATACATTATAGGTAGGGGGTGATAACTACCTAGTACCGGCCTGGGCATAGCAGAAGATCACATATAATCTTTATACATGGGCATACCAAGCCATTTTAACTGAAGTAAGATGTTGCCTAATATTTATCTTAGTTCTGTCTTATTACACCACCGTCCTGTAAGCGCCACACCAAGTGCCTTGAGTGTTTTGTTATTTCTCCATAATGATACATTTCAATTGATTCAGACCATTGTAATGAAAGGATTCAGTCTTTCGGAAAGTGTCTTGAATTAAAATTATACTTTTGGACTCTTCAGCAGTAAAAATGTTAATTTTAAACAATTTCTACCTTTGTTACAAGAAGAGTGTTCTTTAGAACAGCCAATGAGAACAGCGTGTGAAGGTTTCTTCCCTAATAAAAGTTTTAACTGAGGGAGCAATGGTTGACTATTTTGCATTTTTCTTTGCAAAAATGCAAAATGTATTATGTTTTTATTATGTTGTTTTCATTTTGGCGTTTGGTACAGCAGCTTTAACAGGTATCGTGTAGCACTTAAAAGAATATTATGCTAATGAGCAAAAACTATTTTTGGGACAAACCTTTTGAGTCATAGCATTGTATTGTTTTCCTATTAAAGTTTTTTCTTTTTTTTTCCGTTTGTAATTTTCTTTTTTTTTTTAAAAGCTTTTTGTAAAAAGCTAAGAAAAAAAAACCATGTTGTGTATATGTGTGTGCCCTTTTCATTTATGTAAATGTTCTCAGAATATTTATTTACTAATATATTTATCTTCAGACAAGTCTTATGTTGAGTGTTATTGGGATAATCAATGAATATTTCTAACACAAATTTTTTTAACTGTCCAGAAAATGCACATGGATGTAATTTTTTTGACCAAATTATGATTAAAAATAAATATGAAATAATTTTAGTACTATACAGTTTTGTAACAAAGTGTACAAATGTTAAAAATACAATTTTACCAAGAAATGTGTTTATTGTCCTTGTTTTTTTTTTTATGCATAACAGAGAATCTATATGTAGTATACTCTATATGGACAAAAGTGTTAAAACACCTGACCATTACAACAACAGGGAGTATTATGACATCACATTCTAAATTCACAGACATTAATGTGTAGTTGGTCCTTGCTTTGCAGCTGTAACGGCTTCCACTCTCCTGGGAAGGTTTTTCCCAAGATTTTTAAATGTTTCTGTGAGAATTTCTGCTCATTCATCCAGTAGAGCATTTGTGAGGTCAGGCACTGATGCCGGACATGAAAGCCTGGCTTGCAATCTCTGTTACAGTTCATCGCAAAGGTGTTTGATAGGGTTGGTGTCAGGGCTCTGTGCAGGCCAGCCAAGTTCTTTCACACCAAACCCATCCAACCATGTCTTTATGGAACTTGCTTTGTGCACAGGGACACAGTCATGCTTGAATAGAAAAGGGCCTTCCCCATACTGATCCCTCAAAGTTGGAAGCATTGTATTTTCCAACATGTCTTGGTATGCTAAAGCATTAAGATTCCCTTCACTGGAAGTAAAAGACCTATTACAACCCCTGAAAAACCGTACTATACCATTATCCCTCCTCCACCAAACTTTACAGTTGTCACAAAGCAGCCAGACCGGTAAGGTTCTCCTGGCATCTGCTAAAATCGGACTCAAGCATCAGACTGCCAAACAGAGAAGCATGATTCGTCACTCCACAGAAGATATTTTTACTGCTCCAGAGTCCAGTGGTGGCGTGCTTCACACCATTCCATCCGAATCATGGCATTGTACTTGATGATACTAGGCTTGCATGTAGCTGCTCGGCCATGGAAACCCATGCTTGAATCTCTCTCCACACCGTTTTTGTGCTGATATCAATGCCAGTGGAAATTTGGAACTCTTCAGCTTTGTAATCAGTAGAGCGTTAACGACTTTTATGCATCTCTGCACTCAGTGACCCTACTTTGTGACTTTACGTGGTCTTCCACTTCACTGCTGAGTTGTTGCTGTTCCTTAATGCTTCCACTTTCAAAAAATACTGCTTATAGTTGACTGTGGAATATGTAGGGATGACCTTTCACAAACTGACTTATTGCAAAGTTGGCATCCTATCACAATATACATTCTTGAATTCACTGAGCTTCCTATCACAATATACATTCTTGAATTCACTGAGCTTCAGAACAACCCATTTTTTTTATTTTTATCACAAATGTTTGTAAATGCAGACTGCGTGGCTAGGTGCTTGATTTTATACACCTGTGGTAGGTCTGATTGAAACACCTGAATTCAATAATAAAGTGATGTGTACCAATACTTTTTTCCATATAGTGGATGTATGTATGTATGTGTGTATATAGATATAAATATATATATATATATACAGTCATGGGAAAAATAAAGTACACCCTCTTTGACGTCCATGGTTTTATATATCAGGACATAAAAACAATCGTCTATAAGACCTTAGCATTTAAGTAAATACAACTTCAGATGAACAACACATGACATATTACACGGTCATGATTTATTTAACAAAAATGGAGAAGCCATGTGTAAAAATTCTTTAATAATTAAAATTCTTAAGTATCAGACAGTTACTGTTAATTAAATGCCCTCGATTAATTGATCATCAGCAAGTGATTACCTTTATAAGAGCTAAAGTTTTAGCAATCTGCTGGTCTGGACCATTCAGATGTGTGTTAACACAATGCCAAGGAGGAAAGACATCAGCAATGTTCTTAGAGAAGCAATTGTTGCTGCCTTTTAAACTGGGAAGGGTTATAAGACCTTTTCCAAACAAGTTAAAGTACATCATTCTACAGGGAGAAAGATTACATTCAAGTCAGTTGCCAATCTTCCCAGGAGTAGACATGCCAGAAAATTTACCCCAAGGTCAGACTGTGCAATGGAGAAAAATTGCAAAGAATCCAAGGGTTACATCTCAGAATCTACAGGTCTCAGTTAGCATGTTAAATGTTTAAGTTCATGTACAATCAGTACAATTCAAAAAATAATTAACAAGTATGGTTTGTTTGAAAGGGTTCCTAGGAGAAAGCCTCTTCTCTCTAAAAAGAACATGGCAGCACGGCTTAGGTTTGCAAAGTTGCATCTGAACAAACCACAAGACTTCTGGAACAATAAGAGTGGAGAGGTTTGGCCATAATGCACAGCGCCACATTTGGCTAAAACCGAACACAGGACAATAATTCCAGGCACAGCAGCAAATCTACAGAAGAATGTCTGAAACAGAAAATAATCAAGATTCTGCAATGGCCCAGTTAAAGTCCAGACTTCATCTCAATTGAAATGATGTGGCGGGACCATAAGAGAGCCGTGCATAAACAAATGCCATCAAAGCTGAAGCAACGTTGTAAAGAAGAGTGGGCCAAAATTCCTCCACAATGATGTAAGAGACTGATAAAGTTATACAGACAGCGATTAGTTCAAGTTATTACTGCTAAAGGTGGTCTACAAGCTTTTGGATGATAAGGTGCACTTAGTTTTTTTCACACATGGCTTCTCCATTGTGGATTTATGTTTGTTAAATAATTATGAAACTGTGTAATATGTCATATGTTGTTCATCTAAAGTTGTATTTACCTAATTTTAAGACCTGCTAAGGCACAGATGATTTGTTATTATTTCCTGATTTCTAAAACCATAGAATTCAAAGAGGGTGTACGTTTTTCCCCATGACTGTACAAACATACATAAGACTCTCTAAATCTCCTCCAATGTATCTTCTGGTAATGGACAGGGCAGAATAAACTCACTCACAGTTCCTAGCTTGTTGATAAAAACTTTGGAAATCAGAAAAAGCAAGGAAAAGTAGAAAGTACTAAATCTAAAATCTCACAGATTTGGGGATGGATTTATTTATTTTCACCCGTTTCAATTCTCAAGCCATCACAGTTTGCTTTTTAGAGCCATGGTACTACGCCAAAAGTTTCTAATTTAGGTAAATCCCAATTCTGTTCTTATTGAGATTATAAAAAAAACCTGGACTGCTGGTGAACCTTGAGTAGAAGGTTGGAAACTACTATTTTCATGTATAAACCTTTGTATATTCTGTCAAAAAAACTAAACAAAAAGGTAGACGAAAGGCATTTCCATATTGTGCTTTTTTAATGTCAAGCTAAGTGAAGGATCGTGGAGGCCGCCATATTGATTTAATAGCTCTTTCCATCAGGATTGTATAGGTATGATCATTTGTAGGTTGCTGATAAACGGCCAACTTATGTTGTACAGATGTAGTTATTTAGGAGTCAACAGCAGAAGAGATTAGAGGGTTCCAACCACACTAGCTTTCCCAGCATGTTTGTAAATGAAAACGTTTATTTCCATTTCCATTCTCCAAGTGAGAGGTGTACATTTATATCAGGCAGTGAAGAGAGTATGTTTTATATGGTGGACACATGGAGGCTGTGAAATCATGAGAAGAGAAAAATGACAATAATAAGTAATAATATAAAGGTTTTTAAAGGGAGAGGAAGAAAATAGCAGGAAGTCTAAAGAACAAATTCAATACAATTCCCTTGTGCAACTCTGGCACGAAACAGAGGAGCAGAGCAATGGATTTGAAAAGTAGTTTGCCCATAGTAATGATCTATATCTATACATACTACGAGGTTCGAACCCCTGTTAGCCAGAAGGCTAATCTAGATAGAAACATAGAAACATAGAATGTGACGGCAGATAAGAACCATTCGGCCCATCTAGTCTGCCCAATTTTCTAAATACTTTCATTAGTCCCTAGTCTTATCTTATAGTTAGGATAGCCTTATGCCTATCCCACGCATGCTTAAACTCCTTTACTGTGTTAACCTCTACCACTTCAGCTGGAAGGCTATTCCATGCATCCACTACCCTCTCAGTAAAGTAATACTTCCTGATATTATTTTTAAACCTTTGTCCCTCTAATTTAAGACTATGTCCTCTTGTTGTGGTAGTTTTTCTTCTTTTAAATATAGTCTCCTCCTTTACTGTGTTGATTCCCTTTATATATTTAAATGTTTCTATCATATCCCCCCTGTCTCGTCTTTCCTCCAAGCTATACATGTTAAGATCCTTTAACCTTTCCTGGTAAGTTTTATCCCGCAATCCATGAACCAGTTTAGTAGCCCTTCTCTGAACCCTCTCCAAGGTATCAATATCCTTCTGAAGATACGGTCTCCAGTACTGTGTACAATACTCCAAGTGAGGTCTCACCAGTGTTCTGTACAATGGCATGAGCACTTCCCTCTTTCTACTGCTAATACCTCTCCCTATACAACCAAGCATTCTGCTAGCATTTCCTGCTGCTCTATTACATTGTCTGCCTACCTTTAAGTCATCAGAAATAATCACCCCTAAATCCCTTTCCTCATATGTTGAGGTTAGGACTCTATCAAATATTCTGTACTCTGCCCTTGGGTTTTTACGTCCAAGATGCATTATCTTGCACTTATCCACATTAAATGTCAGTTGCCACAATTCTGACCATTTTTCTAGTTTACCTAAATCATTTGTCATTTGGCTTATCCCTCCTGGAACAACAACCATGTTACATATCTTAGTATCATCAGCAAAAAGACACACCTTACCATCAAGACCTTCTGCAAAATCACTAATAAAAATATTAAAGAGAATGGGTCCAAGTACAGATCCCTGAGGTACCCCACTGGTGACAAGTCCAAGCTTCGAATATATTCCATTAACTACAACCCTCTGTTGCCTGTCACTCAGCCACTGCCTTACCCATTCAACAATATTGGAATCCAAACTTAAAGATTGCAGTTTATTGATAAGCCTTCTATGTGCAACAGTGTCAAAAGCCTTACTGAAATCTAGGTAAGCAATGTCTACTGCACCACCCTGATCTATAATTTTAGTTACCCAATCAAAAAAATCAATAAGATTAGTTTGGCATGATCTCCCTGAAGTAAACCCATGTTGTCTCTGATCTTGAAATCCATGTGTTTTTAGATGTTCATCAATCCTATCCTTTAACATGGTTTCCATCACTTTCCCCACTACTGAAGTAAGGCTTACTGGCCTATAGTTGCCCGACTCCTCCCTATTACCTTTCTTGTAAATGGGCACAACATTCGCTAACTTCCAATCTTCTGGGACTACTCCTGTTAACAATGATTGGTTAAATAAATCTGTTAATGGTTTTGCTAGTACACCACTAAGCTCTTTTAATAGCTTTGGGTGTATTCCATCAGGTCCCATTGACTTATTTGTCTTTACTTTTGACAGTTGAAATAGAACCTCTTCCTCTGTAAACTCACGTGTAATAAATGACTCATTTATCCTTTTTCTCAACTGAGGTCCCTTTCCTTCATTTTCATCTGTAAATACAGAACAAAAATATTCATTGAGGCAGTCAGCTAGACCTTTATCCTATTCTACATACCTTCCTTCTTTTGTTTTTAATCTAACTAATCCTTGTTTTACTTTTCTTTTCTCATTTATGTATCTAAAAAATGTTTTATCCCCCTTTTTTACTGACTGTGCTATTTTCTCTTCTGTGTGTGATTTGGAAGCTCTTATAACTTGCTTAGCCTCTTTCTGCCTAATCTTATAGATCATTTTGTCTTCCTCTCTCTGGGTTTTTTTATAATTCCTAAATGCTAACTTTTTGTTTTTAACTATTTTGGCCACATCTGCGGAGTACCACAGTGGTTTCTTGAATTTTTTGCTTTTACTGACAAATAACGGTTATGCTGATCATTTTTATATTTTCTGTTGCTAAATACACGATAAAAACACATGGTATCATGAGCAGCAATATTGCAAACTCTGTGCTTGTTAAATTGTTTGCTCTTAAAGGAACACTCCAAGCACCATAACTACTACAGCATGCTGCAGTGGTTACTTGCGCATTATCCCAAATCCTTATTCACGTTTAAATAACTGGGGTTTTTTTTAGTATCACTCCAATAGCCATTAAAGTGTAAGCTTGCCTGCCACGTCAAGGGAAAACCTCTTAAGCGAGTCCTACAATAACCATTCAGCTTAATCTGAACTGCAACATCTTTAATAAGACAAGGAGAGGTGTTTCTCTAAACCCCTATACACTTGTAGACCCTTAATAATAAACACATGGGATTGTAACATGGCTGTATAATCCAGAAACACATACAAATTAAGCCCTGTGCTCAAATTCCCAGTACTCTTGGGCGGCAGCAATGATTATATTACACATTACCCCAATACATACAATATATTTTTTTTAAAGTTACTTGCGCAAGTGGCAGGTGAGTTTACACTTTAATGGCCATTGGAGTAATATTTAAAAAAATAAAACCTCCAGTTATTTGAATGTTTATAAAGGTTTGGGATTGTGCAACAGGAAGCTTTAAAAAATAAAAAAAAAAGTTGCATCCATTGCTGATGTCCAGGAGTAATGGGAGTTTGAGTGCACAACTTAATTTTGTCTGTTTGTATATGCTGTGGTGGTTAATTATGGTACTGGTACTGCCTCCTCCACCTTTTAGAGCTGAAGAGGAGAGCAGAGCCGGGCAGGTTATAAAGCAAACCATTTTTAAACGGTTTAACTATTTACATTGGATGGGGTGCCAGGTCAGACCTAGTGCCATAACCACTACAACATTCTGTAGTGGTTATGGTGGTCAGAGTGTCCCTTTTCAATTGTTAAAAGAGTTCAAAACCCAGTAACCTCCCCTATTAGAAACGTAAGCGAGTGAAAACATTTAATAACAATGTGCCTTAATTCCCAGATCTTTACAGTAGAAAGACACTTTTCCATCCTTTACCACTTATCTTCCCTCTCACCCTAGCCCCCATTCCCTCCTTTTAATTTTTTTTTCCTCCTCTCAATATTCGTGTTTTCTCCTGTGTCTATCTTCTGTCTCTATCTTACGTCTGGGTGCCTCCTATTGACGAGAAGTTATGTCCATCATGGAAAAGGTGAAGGTCCTTACTTTTTCTAATCTATTGGTAATTTCAAAATCGATTGATAGTATTCATCAATATTATGTATTCTCTTTCTTTGAGGACACCCATTCACATATAAATTTCTGGTTTAATCTCTTTTCTTCCATTGTAAAAAAATTAAAAAATCCTAAATAAAATATTTTTTAAAAATTAACAAAACCTGTAAATATGCTATCACATTGAGTAAAAAAGCTAGTTTTTCAAGGAAGTTGTAAAATAAATAAATCAATGGTTGACTTCTTTTAAAGTTAATTGTGTTGAAATGAAAAAATACTCCACTAGATGGCAGCACTCACATGATGTAAAAGCCAGCGCTTCATGCCAAAAAATTTGTTTATTACAAACTGGTTACATAAAACCATAGTGTTTCATAATTGAACCAAGCCTGTCATTCTCATAAAATGTGGAAATTATATTATTGATGTTTTATCATTTTCTTTCAGATGTGCTATTCACATGTTTTATGGTATTGAATGTCATGTAATAGACCATGACAATAAGCAGAAAAAAAATGTGTATGCCGAAAACAATTGTGTAAAAAGTGCAACATTTAGACTTAGTATTATACTTAAAGCTTCATACTTAATATAAAACATAATGCAGTATCTTTTTATAGCTATTGCTGTAAACACTCCATGTTTCTTCTTTCCTACAACATACCTTAAAGGGACACTAGAGTCACCAGAGCAACTACAGCCTAATGTAATTGTTCTGGTGAGTATAATAGCTCCCTTCAGGCATTTTCAGAGAAAGGGCAGTGTTTACATTGCCCCTAAGGACACCTCCAAGTGGCCACTCCTCATATAACCACTGGAGGGGCTTCCGGGGTCAGTGCTGCACAGTAGGCAGCCCTGCCATTCAGCATCCCCACGCTCTGCATGGAGACGCTGAATTTTCCTCATAGAGATGCATTGATTCAATGCATCTATATGAGGAGGTGCTGATTGGACAAAATGGCATTTGGCCCTGCCCCCTTGCTGATTTTAGCCAATCCAATGCTTTCCCCATGGGGAGCTAAGGGGTGGGGTGGGGGGGGGCAAACCCACCTAATTGGGGGTTTTTCACTACAGGGTCAAGAATACATGTGTGTGTTCCTTTAAAACCAAAATGTATAATAAATGTCTTTCTTATCCAACGTAGTGCAAAATCCACAATAAATAACGCACATTCACAACAATCTAGATTAACTACAGAGACACAATGACATAACAAGTATACTATATATGGTGCCATGCCATTAAAATGTGTATATAAATGGTTGACTAAACCCGGTCACCACTCATTGACCACAGCAATGAGCAGCTTCAGGCATTACGCTCTATGGGACACTGCTTAAAATGACATGACTGCTGCGGAAATCATAGTATCATAGTACAATAAAGAGTGGGCACATAAAACTGTGGAAATCTAAAGGCTGTAAATATAGCAGGTAACTGCAGAGAGACTGAAAAATGGTAATCTGTCAAAAATAAGCAGGTAGTGGTTCTCAGGGCCCACCTAGCCTCAGGATGGATTAGAGAGCACCTCAACTGCTTTGGACATATTGGGTTAGTTATCAACATTGTCACTACTTTTTAGAGGCCTGCTGCTACACGGTAGCATGTGTAGTAGTGATGTGTGGTAAAGGTGGCTCTCCTATTGGCTGTGTCTTGCCTCTGTAGCTACTTTAAAAAAAACAAACACACATTTAGGAACATTACTTTAGGGCTATAACAAAGCATGAAATTTCAGGGAATGAGCCTCGGCTGCAACATGCAATTCGGGGACTAATGGTGGGACAGAGCACATGTATGGCATATACAGAGCATATCTAAACAGTGCACATTTTGTAATATTATAGGATGTAGTTTCATCCAGAGGTAAGTCAATTTATCAGTTACAAGTGATTGCTTACAAGTGTTTAAGATTAAGGGAATAATGTCTTAGTAGAACCTGAGATTAGGAAAATGTTTTAGTAGGACATGGGATAAGAGGAAGAATAGGGGAGATTTAGGAAAGTGTCCTGTTCAGAAAAAGTGTTTCAGCGTCCTAGAAGTGGGTAATCACCATGGAAACCAGAGGACTAAGCAGGCACATTCTAATGGTGATTGCCCCACCAGAAATAATACGAAATATGTCAGGGATAGATGTTTTATTGAGAACAACCTCAAAAGATAGTTGAGTGAAACCAATGGTTTATTCTATGATTTTAAAACCAAACTTGCTAAATTTGGGCCTGGTTATCCTCGTTTAAAGTATGTTTGGAGTGGATTTCTATTCATGTTATCCTGGGCCTCATCATTTCTGATGATGACAGCCCTTTTAAATGCTAAGACTACTCCTTTAATAGTTGCACAGGTGCAGGAGAGTTTATTGGAGTATTTTTATAGGCAGTAAAGTTTGTTTCCCAGCAGGCTAGGCCAGCTTTACAGTTTTAAGTAGTTAATGGAGAATGTTTGCTAATTAGTACATATCAGATGGAGTAGGATTGCAAACGTATTGTGTGTTTTATGGCTCTGAATGTTTTTCCATCTAACCACATTTTTTTGTGGTGAGTTGGCTTTGTAGGGGACACCTGATGGCAAAACAGCTAATAAATCCACAAAGGGAGATATAATGAGTGCTGTTATCAGGAAAAATGCTGGCAATGAGAACGTTATCAGGATGTTTGCAATGACAAATAACCTTCTCACAGACATAACAGAAATAAAATGGAATGAAACAAAAGTCAAACAGTACAGTGAGCCAGAGGTGTATCTAGGGTGTTTGGCACCAATAGTAGAATTGGTAGTGACCCGTATAGAAAATATCATTGCCCCACCACATTTATCTCTTAATCCCCCTCACACCTTGAGTGACTTTTCTGATAAACCCTTTGTGTCTCTCTTTTCACCTGCTGTCTGTACGTATTCCTCTTATCCCCTTGTGTGTCTCTCCTTGCCCCTTGCCCTCTGTGCCTGCCAGCAAGGGCGGGCTGATTTCATGCCCCACTTTGGTATAGAACTGCACAGAGGTAACTGTTAAAGGACAACTGTCGTCAAGCATTCAGTTCTTGTTTTATTTTTCAGTTTTAAAGACAGACTCCACAGATTTGGCACCAGATTGAGCAGCCTCACACAGACCACATGGAAGACAGCATAATCCACATAAAGATCTCTCCATATTTAAATGCTGGAATTGAACAACGCCAGGACAAAACCTTATATATGTTCCTGAGATCGAAAGGAAACAAAATGTGGAGCCTGCTATATCTGCCAATAATATGTATCTTCTCGGAAACCAAATGCAGGCAAAACACATGTTTACCTACAAACTCCCTATTCACCAGATAATACAGATAGTTTTCCCCTCTGATTAGAGGGAAGCAGAATGTTTAGAGGAAAAACAAAACCTCTATTAAACCCTTAAGGACACGACAGACATTTTCCATAATGCTGGCCTTTACTTCTGAAGCTGTGTCCTTAAGGGTTTAAACAGGTAAGGTCTCTTTCACTAGCCCTCTCTTCTTCGTTTACATTATATGTAGTGGAGTCACCATATAAATTACAAAAATTAGATAAAAGCTAGTTGCCCCCTCTCCCCCACTTAGTATGTGCCTCATATATTTGCATTTCTGCTATTGTTTATAAGCACTAACTTTGTGGCTTGCATGCACTGTCTGGTACAAAGCCACACTATCCTAAGTGACTGCACCAACACTGATTTCCCTCAGAATTCCTTTGTCGTCGGTCCTGTCCTCACCTTTCCAACACAGTGTCACCTGAAACCAGTCATTGGGTCCTTTCAAGGCAAGTGCTTTCTTTATTCCTTGCCATAAACCCTCCATTTACTGTTTAGAAATGTATGATTGTGTCCCTTGTTTGGGTAGAGAGCTTGTGTTGGGGAGCAGAGGTGTCTCACAGTTCTCAAAGTTACCTTTTCTTTTTTAACTGTTTTCTGCTGATGGACCTGAAATCGTACAGACTAGATAGTTGACCTGTAAAAAGACAGACAAATTAATTTTTTTAGTTTACATGTTTAAGGTGTGAATTATTTCTTGTGGTCTGCATCGTTGTATTAGATTTTACTTTGATAATTGTCAGTTAATGTGTGTGTGCATGCATTAAAGAAACACGAAAAGGTTCAACAAGAGAGAAACATTAGTTACAAAACAACGTGACAAATTAGTGGTAATTGAAGATTATGCTATCTTTAGTGTATTTATAATCTTAATTTTAGTAATGACAGGAGGCGAGTAGTTTGCATAAACGCTCTTTACAAACTCCACAGCAGCAAACAAAATGTATAAACATGAACCAATCAAATACTGTAGGAAGTATAGTATCCACAGTGAACAGGCTCCTCCTACTCTTTCGGCAAGCGACATCACAGATGGATAAAGTTCAAAACCATAACAGGAACATCAGACAGTCATCATTAAACGGAGAAAAATCCAGCTAGACCAAGTCTGAAACTAACCAAAGTCCTGCAACGAATTAAACTGGAAAGAGAACGTGAAAATAGGTTAGCCACTAGTCACGAGACTATGAAAAAAGAAGTAACCCATCAATTGATTAAAGATCAATATGAAATTAATTATAAACTATAAATAAAGGTAGCGTAACAATTAGGCCCAATATATATATATATATATATATATATATATAAAGAAACCAATATATATATATATATAGATACATGGTATACAAACAATACCAATACGATATACTTGTTACATTTGATATGAGAAACCATATAACGAAGGTAGAGACAGGGACCACTGAAGAAGGAAGGGTCAATGGAAAGAAAGTCATAAGTAGGACAGAAGAAACAAAGTTCCCTGAAGGACACTACGGAGAGATCCCATATAGTCGCAACTGGGGGGGGGGGGAGTAGAGTGGGAAAATACTCGCCTCCTGTCATTACTAAAATTAAGATTATAAGTACACTAAAGCTATCAAAATCTTAAATTTTACCACATGAGAGGAGGATTCCTATTTTGCATTTTTAACACTGATGTAGGAGAGAAAAGGGCGCATTAGAACCTAGAAGAAAATAAAAAGTCCAAAACGTGGACTCACGAGACTGGTCTGCCGTATGAAGGATATCTGACAGCGACGCCCCTGCCGAGAAAGCAGAGGAGGCGGCCGCCCCACACACTGAATGAGCCCCGAACAATGCATCCACGCCTGCTAGGGACAAAACCCATCGTATCTATCTGGCGAGCGTAGTAATTGACTCGGGGTTATGCGGTTTAACGTAGGACACCAATAGTTCTCCGTAGGTAGAGGCTCGGAGTGGGGCTGTAACTTCCACCTAACGCTGTAAGGCCGTACCTACACACAACTGAGGTTCAGCGATGAAAAAGGGGTAAAAAAAACGAAGTTGAATCCGACTTTGTGCTCCAGGAGACCCAAAAATTTACTCCGTCCGAGGATATTGAAAAAGCATTGACATCGAACGCCCGAACATCCGAAACCCGCGGGAAAGAGACGAGGCAAAGTAAAACCGTGAACAAAAGTTGGCAAAGAGAAAGTCTGTCAGTAGGAGGCCAGTTGGAGGACGACGTTGACCTCCCACAAGTGCGAATATTTGGGGCCCGGGGGTTGATGCAGGCATATGCCTTTCAGTAAACGACACACCAGCGGGTCTTTACCCACTGGGATCCCATGAATTGGAAAGTGTGCCGCCGAAATCGCTGAATGCACCACATTAATCGATCAGTAAGATCGACCTGAGGAAAACAGGGATGATATTGTCACATCCTGTTCCTCGCTGTGGATCATTCTGGCAATGGCTTCTGGTATCAGCACTCTTTTTACTATCCTTGCTTAGTTTTTCTTGGTTTTTCTGGTTTTCTAGTCTATGTCTGGTTTTCTTTATTATTGGGATTTCTGGGTTCATTCTTATATTCCGTCCCTGGGATTCCCAGTCTCCAGGTTTCCTTTAAATGTTTGTTTTATGTTGCCACACCCATTTATTTTCTATTTTCCTTTTGTTTCAGTCTGGACCTGCAGCAGTGTTTCAAGTCTCTGCCCTTTCTTGCAGGTAAGTGCTATTGTGGTCTAGTATGGTTCTTTTAGCGAACATTAGGCAGTGTAGGACCTGCCAGATATGGGGTACATTGGCATTGTTGGCAGGCTTATGCAATGTATGATCATATAATGTAACTAAATCCCTATACTTTTCATAGATAGTGCTTAGTTATGTCTCCTCTTGTTTTACCTTGTATCTCTTGTCTAGTTTTATTTTATTTTGTAATCCCAGTCCATGTACAGTCCTGTCCAGTCATGCCCATGTTATGTTCTTGTTTTCCTCATGTCTTGTGTACATGTTCTGGGTTCTGCTTTCTGTCCTGCTCTGGTTCTGGGTTCTCCTAGTTTTGTCTTGTTTTCATGTATGGTGCCTATCTCTAGTCTTGCCCTGTTCTCCTAGTTCTGTCTTGTTTTCATGTATGGTGCCTCCCTATACAGCTCCTGGGAGGTCTGCTTATTTCCATGCTCTTAGTTCCTGGGATCCGCATAAGCTGAATCAGGGTTCTGGTATGTGGCTGCACAAACGCTGGTGCTCAACACCAGGGGGCATGCGGTTACGCTGCACCAGACCCTGCTAATCCACCTTCACACTGTGACTCTTACTCTGAACATCAGGCATACTGGGTCCCGGTCCACGCACTGCCGCCCGGACAGTGTCTGGGTCCCGGGCACCAGACCGCCACCCTGACATATATAAATTTTAAATGAAGGACATAGGGAAGGCAGAAGTCGAAGATCTCCTTCGTTATTTCCGACAATAGCCTGGATCGGGCTCCAACCCAGGCGGTTGATATAGCAGACTGCTGAGATGATTTCCATCCTGAGGAGAATGCAACAGTTGGACCTTTCCCTCGCCAGGCTCCAGTTCATGTGCATGTCGAGTTCCTGTGACGTCCAGATGCCCCCTGTCGATATGCCTTCACTCGTCGCACCCCAAACCAAACATCTGGCATCCGATTCCAATACGAAATCCGGCGTGTCCCTGAAGATGGCCCACCATTCCATGCTTGAATGCTGTCCAGCCACCATCCTAGTTTTCCCTCACTTCGTCTGTCACTGGGACTGGCTGGTCGTAAGTAAGGTTCTGTCGAAAGAACGAGGCCTTGAGGTGCTGCATCGCCCTGTAGTGGAGGGGGCCCGGGAAGATGGCCTGGATGGATGCGGACAGGAGACTCACTACGCGAGTGAGGCCACAGAGGGGAACGGTTTGACAGCGGATTACTTTGCGCAGTTCCTTGTGTATGGCTGAGATCTTTAATGATGGTAGGCGTAGCGTTCTGGACGTGGAGTCAATCTAGAAACGTAAGAACTGTATAGTTTAGGATGGAGTGATTGCCGATTTTGGGCGGTTCACCACCTCAGTGATTCCAGCAGATCCACGGTATAGCATGTGTGTAGTGTTAGTCTGGACCTGTCAGAGCAGAATAGTAGGAGGTCGTCCAGGTAAATAATGCAGCAAATTCCTCTTGCTCGAAGATGAGTAACCACTGGCTTCATCAGTTTGGTGAAACACCATGGGGCTGAGCTGAGGCCGAAAGGGAGGCACGTGAACTGCCAAGGATGGTCTAGCCACATGAATCGGAGGAATCAACGAGAGGAGGGGTGGACGGGTACCGACAAGTACGCGTCTTTGAGGTTCAACCTCATGA